TGATCAAAAAGATGACAGGAAAGGGTTCACTATCAAGAATGTGGTGAGGGAGGCACTGACCTGGTCCAAGCACAGGGCTCTCAGCCCCAGTTCTGTTCCCTGCACAAGTATAGGACAAGTTTACTCTGTCCCCAGAGGACCTTGGGGCTCCAAAGAGCATCCTGAGAGAAAGGGTCATGAGAATAGTGATTTGTGAGCTGCTCGCTACATGCACAGGCTCCCTGCCGAACATTTTATAAACATTAACTCATTTAATGTTCACAAAAGATCCAGGAGGTAGGTGCAATTAATACTGCCGCTGTACAAATGACAAAATTGAGGAATGGAGAGGTTTAGTGACTTGCACTAGGTCACACGGTGAATGTAGCAGATCTGAGATTCAGACAGATGCTTAACTGTCTAGAGCCCACGGTCCCCACAAAACACCCTGCCTGTCATGGCTTCATGGCTTGTGTTCTCATTGGCCTGAGTTCTGGTCGCCAAGGGAGGACCTTCTAATAACCGATCCAGGGCATCCATCCTTGTCTTTTCTCAAGCAGCCTTTATCAACAATCATGTGAGGTTATTAAGGGCATTTTTCTGACCTTAACATCGTCATCTGTAGCTGTTCCCAGACCATTCCCATCTCCCACAGCCACCCTTTCTCCAGCAAGCTTGGCCTGTGGTTCTAATGAACATAGGGAGCCTGGTTCATTTCAAGGCAGGAAGTGACTAACACGATGAGGGATGACATGAATGAGGTTGAGCAGATATCTCAGTGGAATGTGTGTCATGCTGGAGGTGAGAGTTCCATCCTGAGATGGATCCTCAGCCCCTGACAGCATCTGCCTCGCCTGTTCTCCTGGCTCAGGAACCTTTTGACAGCGGGTCAATGATTTTGCTCTGCATATAAAAAGCTGACCTTTCTTGGGAAGGTGACCCATGGACTCAGATTCACACGCTGGTGTGCGAGTAAGTGGTCAATGCCAGCACTTTGACCTGGTGTTCACTCTTGTGCGAGTTTCTGCCCAGCTCCCGGTGCTGGGGTTCTGAGCTGGGCGCTGGGATTGCAGAGCAGCAGGACACAGACTGTCAAGTCCAGGAGAAGGAGGATTGCTTGATTCCCGTAACTTTAAGATGGTTGAAAGTCCTTGGTGCCTCAAGAGAGGTGAGGAAAAGTAGAGAGGGAGTCCAAAGAGGTGAGTTAAAGGGAGCATCAGGGAATATTTTGTGGCTAAGATGGCATTTAAATTAGTCCTTGTAAGGTTTATAAGAGAACAGGTGAAAAGGAATGGGAACAAAGCAATGCAGGAAGGAGGAACAGCATGAGCAAACAAAGGTGGTAGGATATGTCATCCCTCCCAACTGAAACTGAAGATGTTTTGGCTCTGAAAACAAGCATTTTAACCATAAGTATATCAACACTGACAGATTTTTCCCAAGCAAGTATTTTCTAGAGTAGAATGCACTGAGCAAATGAAATGCATTGATCATTTTTCTCTTTGGTGCAATTAAGCCATTTACAGCATTACTTTCCATTTTCTCCTTTTATCTTACTAAATTTATTTTTATTGAATCAATTATTTTCTTGGAAAACTTTACAGTGAAGATTGGATTTATTAGTCAGTTTCTTTTATCCATTTCAAATTTCAGCAATCTCTTCCACCATTGTGTTTTCTCTTCGGAGGGAAGGGAGTTATTTTTAGCAAATTACCATGTAATTTTGCAATTACGCCAGTTTTATTATTTTTATTTTTTATTTTTTAAAATTGAAGTACAGTCAGTTACAATGTGTCAATTTCTGGTGTACAGCACAATGTCCTAGTCATGCACACATACATTCATTTTCATATTTTTTTCGATTAAAGGTTATTATAAGATATTGAACATAGTTCCCTGTGCTATACAAAATAAACTTTTTTAGTTTTATTTTTTATTGATGCTTTATATCAGAAATATTCATTATGAATTAGATTTAAAACTAATAATTTGGATTTATCATTTAGCTGATCCACAGGAAATTTGTGAGCAGATCTCCTCAGACATTCCAGGATTGGTGTTTTGTCCTGGAGTGGGTAATTATACTGCTAATTCAATTCTTTCAAATACTGCCCATCAGGTTGAATACTGTGGGCTTATTGTTTATACTGTGGCTGGAGCAAAGAGAAACAGTGGGGTCAAGATGGTGGGATAAAAACACGTGGCTCCCTATTTCAGCTCAGGGGTCTGGAGAGAGAAAAGCATGGTCCTTTGTGACATCCATCCTCAGTGAGCAGTAGGATGCTTGGGTCTTAATAGCAGACCTGAACCAGGCCTTCCAGGTTTCCCTGCTGTAGCTTCATGAACTAGTTTAGGTCATTGCTAAGAGTTCCTACAATCCAGGCAGATGGTGTAGTATAGTAGCTGGAAGTAGAAGGAGGTTGGGTGTTCCTAGCTGTGTTACCCTGGGCAAATCTCTTTGCTCTCTGAACCTTGCTTCCATATCTGAAAAAGGGTGGTAATACCCACCTCATACGATGTTGAGCACAATTCTTGACACTTGGTACATCTATCATAGATTGAGTCTTCCTTTCAGGAATTAATGATTTTTTAAAATTGAAGTACAGTTGATCTACAATGTCATGTGTTAATTTCTGGTGAATAGCATAGTGATTCAGTCATATATATATGTATATATCTGTGTGTGTGTATATATATATATATATATAAAACATATTCTTTTTCATGATAGGCTATTACAAGATACTGAATATAGCTCCCTGAGAAAATGGCAGAAACAGGAAGGTCACTGTGTCCTCTTGCCCTGATCCCTGAAAGCAGGAGATGAGTCTCCCATGTGACAGGCAGCCTCTCTGTGCCAGGAGGAGGAAGGGAGGCTTCTTATTACTAGAGACGGGGAATTTAGGGATGAGAAGATTGCATAACAAACCTTGTTACTTCTTTATCATTTATTACCCAGAGCCCAAACCCCGCTGTCTTGTGAATTCTTCACAAGTTGATTGTTTCTTTGTCTAAAAGGTATAAAAGCTTCCCACTCTTGCCACTTTCTTAGGGTTTTAATTGCCTGTGAAGGCTCTCATGTACGTGTAAAAATTCGTTAAAATTTGTATTCTTTTCTCCTGTTGATCTGTCTCATGTCAGTTTACTTCTTAGGTTCAGCCAGAGATCCAAAGAGGGTAGAGGAGAACTTTTCCTTCCCTACGATTCCACACACAAAGCTTCTAGCCTCTGGGCCTTTGCACATCCTGTTCTCGCTATTAGGAATCCCGTTCCACCAGAGAATGCTGGTGGACTCTGTTTCACCCTCCAGCTGGAGCATCCTCTCTTCTGTGCAGCCCTTTTCTGTGCTGCCTGCCCAAATGGGCAGTCCATCTTCCTGTTCTCATGCCACCGCTGAGCCTTGTTTATTCCCTGCTCTAGGCAAGGCTTAAGAGTCGCAGGTAACAACTGAAACTCAACTCAGACACGTGTTAGCAGAAGGGTGGTTTATTGGCTTTTGTAACTGCAAAGGCCAGGAGTGATGGGATCTAGATAGAGGCTCAAAGATGTCTTTCTCTTGTTCTATCTCTTCTCTCCCTCTTCCCTCTTCCTCTTCATCTCTTCCATTATCTTTGGTCTCTTAGGGTACCCAACTGGAAATCTGGGTAACTGACCCCAGCTTTATCCTGCAGCTCTGTTTCTTGTCTTCACCTGAATCAGATGATTTTCCTCTGATTCTGAAACTCCGACCCCCACATGCCTCTGGGTTCGGTTGTCAACAGAGTCATCAAGGAGGTCAGTCTGCCTGGATTGTGAGGTATGTGGATGAAGGCAGACTAGGAAGGCAAAGGGATCTGAATCATGGTGGGCTCCGAGTGCCAGTCTGAGAAGTCAGGGCTGTGCTGTGTAGTGGGAGTGGGGAACCCCTGAGAGTCCTTTGGCAGGAGGGTGTACAGTGATCAGAATTCCACGTTAGCAGAAAAATTGGGGAAGGTATGTAAAGGATGGAATAGAAAAGTAAGAACCAGGGAGTTGGGAGACTTTCCTCTTTGCCAGTTTTACTGGCAGGTGGCGAGGTGATGGAGAGCTCATGAGGTGTGGTTACTGGGCTGTAGGATACAGTGGTGGTATGGAGGGGATGGCCACCAAACTAAGCTCTGGCTGCTGTGACAGGTTAAATGTGGGTCCCAAAGATGCCCACATCTCAATTCTCAGAACCTGGGAAGATTACCTTATATGGCAAAACGATGAACATTACCTTATAGGATGAAATATGTAATTAAGTTGAGATCTTGAGAAGGGGATATTATCCTGGATTATCCAAAAGGGCCCAATGTAATCACAAGGCTCTTTATAAGAGAGAGGCAGAGAGAGATGCTACACAGAAGAGAAGATAATGTGAGAACATCTGTAGAGAAGGACCGGGAGACGCTCGGCTGCAGCTTTGAAGACGGAGGAAGGGGCCGTGAGCCAAGTGAAGCCAGCAGCCGCCAGCAGCTGGGAGGGGCAGGGAACAAGTTCTCCCCTAGATTCTCTGCAGAGGGCCCTGCTCTTGCTGACACTGTGATTTTAGCCCAGTGAAACTGATTTCAGCTTTCTTGCCTCCAGAACTGTGAGAGAATGAATTTCTGTTGTTTTAAACCACTGAGTTTGTGGTAATTTGCTGTAGCTGCAACAGGAAACTAATGTAGTTGCTTAAAAGGGTTTCAGAAGGTGGGCTCCTCTCCCAGAAATCAAGTTCTGCTACCACCTTCTGATGCCAAGGACTGGGCTCCTTGGGGGCAGGGCCACAAGAATGTTGGTTTCCATTTGCCCGGTGCTCATCCTGGCCCTCTCCCCTTTGCCCCCATTACAATAAAAGTGCCAAATTCCCACTCCTTTATCCCACCTTCCATACACCTTGCCCAATCTATCTGCCAAAAGTAAAATTCTGATCACTGTACACTCTCCTGCTGAATGACTCTTAGTGGCTCCCTTAGGCTGATTACAGAACAAAGTCCAGAAATCTTGGGCTGGCAGGGGCTCAGTGACTGATTACAGACTCAGCTGCCATCTTCCAGAGGATGGGGATTAATAATAATGGTGATAGTGATGTTGATGATGGTGGCGGTCATGATGAGAGTGATGCCACACGTGACAGTGAAGTTGATGGTGGTGGTGATGATGATAATGATGACAGTGATGCTGTGATGGTGGTAAAGATGATGGTGGTGGTGGTGGTGATGGTGGTGGTGGTGATGGTGATGGTGATGGTGATGTCAGTGATCATTACTGAGCACTGGTGCCCAGGTCCTGTACTTTGGGCTTTCTACACATGATCTCACATATCCTTACTCTGTCCTTATGAGCAGGCTTTCACAGGTGGGTAATTTGAAGCTCAGAGGAGCCTTGTCACACACTGGCAGTGGCTGAGCTAGAACCTCCTGTTCCTGTGCACAGGCTGTCCCTTTAGTGTGGCTGGGACAGCCTGGCACATCTGTTTTGGTTGGAGGGTTGCCTCTCTATCGTCATAGACCTAACTCCTGGCTGTACTGTGCCAGAGCATTTTAGAGTCTAATGTTATAAACCAAACAGTAGTTAATATGAGAACTGAGACAGGGATCACAGGTGTTAGCCCTGCTGGTTGCTTCACTCTAATTTGTGCCCCGACACCCAGCTTGGAGGATCTAAATTCATATCAGCTTCCAATCTGCACTGCAGACATCGTCCCCTGTGCCTTGGTCACTACCTTCCCCTATTATGTCAAAGTATTTTTAGCTAGAGGAAACAGCAATTAAAAAATCTGTCTCTATATTCCAGCTGTCCCTTCAATTATCTTTCTTCTAAATTATATATACATGAACTTTAGCTGGAACTCCTCTCTCTGCCCCATTGCTTTGTTCTTCCAGTTCCCCTGGTGGGCAGAGGCAGACACTGTGGATTGGGTTCCCCACAGGCATGCCTAGCTCCTTGAAGCTCCCTTACCCATCTCTCACCAGTCCCTATGGACCATGGGAAAATGTTCACAAAATGTTATGTTAAAGAGACAGGCTATCAAAAAGTGGCAGTACCTGGTGTCCATCGGTGAATGAGTAGATGAACGTAATTTGGTCCATCCATGCAATGAAGTATTTATTATTCAGCCTTATGTAGAGGAAGGAAATGCTGACTCATGATACAGCATGTGTGAAACTTGAGGATATTATGCTGAAGTAAATAAGCGAATCATAAAAGGACAAAATTGTAGGCTTCCACTTAGATGAGGTACCTTGAGCTGTCAAATGCATAGTTACAGAAAACAGAATGTGGTTACCATGAACTCGGGGAAGAGGGATACGGGAAGTGAGTGTTTCATGGGGACAGTTTCAGGTTGGGAAGACGCTCTGGTGATGGATGGGGTGACGGCTGTACACCAATGTCAGTGTACTTAATGCCACCCATTGTACACTTAAAAATGGTCACAATGGCAAATTTTATCTTACATGTATTTGACCACAATAAAAAATAGACCATTAAATAATCTTTTATATAATGGTTTCATATAATATGTGTTTTTTCCAAGTTATATAAAGAGTACATGTTCAATGACACGATTGAAAAATACAGAAAGCCTCAAAAACAAAATGTTTCACATTTCCACCCCGCAAAATTAACTGCTATTAATACTTTATTGTGTATGACTTCAATATTGCATTTCCATGCATGTTTGCTTATATATACACACCTTCACACGTTTTGAATCTTTTCTCTAGTAAAGAAGTATCTTATTGTTCTCACATTCTGGTAATTTTTTTTCCCTCTTACTTAAAATATTGTGAACAGTTCCTGCTGTCTAGATGAGTTTTGTTTTCAAGTGACTTACTCATTTATTCATTCAACAAATATTTAATCGGCATCTATTTTATGCTTAATGCTTGCCCCCTTCCAAAGTTGAAAAAAATGTTACAGTGAATACCTGGTAACCACAACCTCGATTTACCATTAACATAGTCTTATCCTTGCTTCCCGTATGAATGTATCTATTCATTTATCTATCCCTCGATCTGTCCATTAATCCATCTAATTCTGATGGATTTTAAAATAAATTGCAGACTAAGTAGAGGTCTAAATTCTTCAGCGTGCTTATTATTAACCAGAGTTTAATATTTGTTTACAATTTTTCCTTTGATAGAAAATTTATGTACAATGAAATAAACACACACACACATATGTGTAAAGTTTGTATTTCCTGAGTTTTGAAAAACATATACCTGGAACATCATAGTCATCCCAGAAACTTCCCTCTTGTGCCTTCTGAGACAATCCTTACCCCACGCCCCGGAAGCAACCCCTGCTTTTTTTTGCCACTAGGATACATTTTTCCCCCTAGAATTTCATAGCACTGGAATCATCTAGTAAGGAGATGATTTTAGTCAACATATGTTTTTGAGATTTATCCACATGTCAGAAGCTTGTGCCTTTTTAATGCTGAGTAGAATTCAATTATGTGAACAGCTAGTTTGTCCATTTTATGTTTATATACAGTTGAGTTATTTTCACTTTTTGGCTCCTATGAAAAAACTGTTATGAAAATTCTTGTATGTTTTCTCTCGTCTCTGTGGTAGTTAATTTGATGTATCAACTTGACTGGGCCTTGGGTGTCTAGAGATTTGGTCAAACATTATTGTGGTTGTGTCTGTGGGGGTGTTTCTGGATGAGAGTAACAGTGGACTAAGTAAAACAGATTGCCCTCCTGAGTGTGGGTGGGTCTTGCCCAATCAGTTGAAGACCTGAGCAACAAAAAGTCCAAATAAGAGGGACTCCTGGCTGACAGCTGAGCTGAGGCATTGCTCTCTTTATTTCTTTTTCTTTCTTTTTTTTTTTTTGCCTTCAGACTCGGGATGAAACACTGGTTCTTCTTTGGTCTCATGCCTGTCTCTAGCTTGTCACCTGCAGATCTTGGGGCTTTTCAACCTCCATAATTACATGAAACAATTCCTTATAAAAATGATTTTTCAGAAATATATAGATATATGTATCCTATTGCTCATGTCATGTTGGAGGTTAAGATCACAAGAGACCATGTCATACCATGCAAAAACATCTGATGCCTCTGTGTGGGAAGGGCAGTGTAGCTGCAACTGCACAGGGTGTAGCCCCAGGCTGATGGACAGATAGATTAATTTATTATATTAGTTCACTGACTGACTCATTACAGGAGGCAGTACAGCAGGAGCTGTGCCACTTAGGCTCTGGAGTCAGGTTGCTAGTTTGGAATCCCTTCTCTCCCACATAATAGCTATGTGACCTTGGGGATAACTTGTGTCTCAGTTTCCCAATCTGTTGAATGGGGCTAATTATATCCCATTGCAATGTTATAAAGATTAGAGGAGATACTTTATATAAAGTACTTACAACAATACCTGGCACATTGTTAGTACTGAATTAACTTTATATAATGTATTAGTCAGGCTCTATTGCAATAATGCCGCTTAACAAACAATCCTTAAAATCTCGGTGCTAACAACAGTTACTTCTCATATTCAGAGGTAAGCTATGGCTCTACGGGACTCTAATGGGTTTGACTAGATTCCAGATGGGCCTAAGTCTAGGCTGTGAGTTGGGTTCACATCAGCTTCATTTGGCTCTCAGAGGAGCCAGGAAAGGCACCTGAGCTCTCTGAGGCATGTCTCATTTAATGTCTCTGCCGGGTGTGCATTCTCTAAGTTGACTCACATTCCGTTGGCCAAAGCCAGGTCACACAACCAGGCTCACCCGCAGTGGGATGGTGAAGTACATCACTCTCACAGGAGGTGGGGCAAACATCTGCTGAACAATAATACAGTAACATGACCTCCTACAGTAATATTAAATGTTTCTTGGGTGCCCAATAGCTCCCAGGAAATGTTGTTATACAGGGATTCAGAGGTGGGTCAGACAGTGACTGCCCTCCAGGGCACTCTCCCATCTCTGTGGCAACTACGATGACAGGAGTGGACAGGAGGCCACCAGGAAGTCCCCAGGAGAACTTACCCAGCAAGAATGATTTTTATTTCTCATAAGCTCCATACACCAGGTATCACTATCTTCATTTTACATATAAGGAAACTGAGACTCGGACAGGTTAAGTCACTTCCTTTTTGTTCCACAGGTAGAAAGTGGCTGAGCCTGGAACCCAACCCTGGTGACCATCCCAAGGCTCTGATCTTTGCCTGACAGCTCCAGACTCAAGTGTGAAGTCAGGGAGATTAGGAGTAAGATACAGTCTTATGGAGACTGTCAGTCCTGGCAGGAGTCTGGTCCCTGGTCCGCGTGCACGTGAGCTCTGGCAGACACATCTGTTAAGCCCAGCCCTTCACAGCTGGACTAGTGACTTCAACCACTTGAAGAGCAGACTCTCGTTAACAACTGCCAAGCCAGTGAGCTGTCCAGAAGCTGCTTTCTGCATTGCCTTGGGATGCTGAGCCTGTGCTCAAGCCAAAGGCGCCCTCCCGGTGTCCTTGGGGGAAATATATATATCCCAGGCGACTGCTGCTCACAGAAAGCCCCTGTTCTCCATCCACACAGTCTCCAGAGCTCCGGCTGGTGCCTGGCGTGGAGCAGGGGCTGAATAACAGGGTGTGGAATGAGTGAGTGAATGGCTGGATACCCAGAGAGGCTGCAGAGTCCATCGGGAAGAGAGCAGATGAGATTTATTTTTGTCCCTATCAGCTCTCTGGTCCTTTGGAGAGATTTTAGCTGGAATGGGTCTGGTGCACACAAACACCAGAGTCTCTCAGGGGTACAGGCACAGAGGGGAGCTCTCTTGGGCATCTCAGTAAACACTGGGGCAGAATGCCCTTGTCTGTTCTTTTCTGAGAAGTGACCTCGGTGTTCATTGTGCTCTATCAGCTGACTTTAGCCCTTAACTCAAATATTCCACTGGTGCAGAGTACCTTAGCCCAGACAAATCGTAAGTGGTACCTCCCTGGTCAACTGCACGGTCATGGTCCTGTATCCCAACACCCACTACAATCAGGGCCTGCCAGAGAAGCCTAATTTTCATCGTGGGTTATTTATAACCAAATCACAGTGGGGATCATCATGTAAAGAGAGCTGTTGCCTCCCCTCCCCCAAGGCCGTCAATCTCTCCATTTCGTGTAAGGCTTCTGGCTGCAGTGATAAGACTTAATGAACAGGCTTGTGAATTGGCAAGTGCGAACAGCAAAGGAGTTTTATGACTCTTA